GAGGGGTTTAGCGAAGGCAGGACGGGCAGGGGACCCCCGGGGTGCACAAGCCCATCCAAGGAGGGACCACGGGATGCGACACCCTCCCGGCAGCCCCGGTGCCACCAGACCCCCCCCGCCCTTGCCCGTACTCACTATTTTGCGTACGTGACTCAGCGCGCTTCCCTCTTTGCCTTTACAGTTTTCCACTTGATAGGGAGGGGCGATAACGACTTCTTCCATCACAACTATGTTCTTCTCCTGCCATTTACAGTCTTTAATGCTGCAGGGAGGGGATAAAGGACCAGCGAAGGTGACTGCCCGGGGCTCTGGGCTGTGTCCCCACATCCCCCAGCCCCACTGAAAGCCACCACCCACCCCCAGCAGGGTCCCGCTGCCCACCTCGGCCCCGCGTCTCACCAAGGAGCTGATGTGGGTGCAGAAGCCACCCAGTACCTCCTAGGAACCCAACCAAAGAGGGGTACGAGCCTGCAGGGACAGGGCACGAGCCTGGAGGGACGGGGACATGGCCAGTGTGTGCCAGAAGAGGCCGGGAGCAGGCAGGGAGCAGGCAGAGAGCAGGCAGAGAGGCATCATCTGCCCCCAAGGACTACATGGCTCTGGCCAGCACGTCCCAGGACACATTGGCAGCGTTTTGTGGCGAGCCCAAGGGACCGGGCAATGCAAACCCCTGCCTGGGCTACAAACAACTCCCATCCAGCGGCACTGGGGGCAGAGGCAGAGCAGAGGAGTCACCCGTGGCACCGACGAGGAGACTTACGTCTTATGTATAGTCTGGAAGAGCTGCTGCCCCTCCAGAGAGACACCAGCACTAATTGCATACGCCTGGCTCATCTTCTCTTCCTTCTCCGTCCGTGCTTTGTTGGCAAGCTGGAGGGGAGACAAAGAGACAGGGAGCTCAGCTGAGCATCGCCCGAGCGGCGACGAGACCTCCGAGGGGGCACAGGTCCCACCCGCAGACACAGCTCTGCCACCGCTCACAGTCCGGATCACCAATTAAATCAGTGTTAACGACGAGCATGCAATTCCCACTCTCCCACCACACCTTTCTTTGCACATCCCAGAGTGCCAGATGGATTTCAGGCCACAGCTTAATTCCTTTTTGAGTCGCTGTCGCCACTGCTTGTGTCCCCCTGATATTTTAGGGATGTGGGCACCATCTTTTCGTATCCCCCTGTTTGGGCACAGGGAGGAAATCAGCTGCCAGGGACCAGACGCACAAGCATCACTTTCCCCCCCGCCTCTTCCAAATTAATTGCTGCATTTTAGGTCCAAACCACCTTCCACCACTCATTGTTTACTCAGGGGACACAGACAGGCAAAATGAGCCCGAAATAACCATTACATTAGAGCTCATGGGCCGTAAATGCCTCTGTATAGACCACGCAGGAGTATGAGGAGTATGAACAACTTTATCCCAGAACAGCTATTCTGTTAAAAAAAAAAAAAAAAGCAGAATCAGTTATTTGGGAGTCACTCCAGCAGCACACGACGTCCGTGCGCAGGGAAGCGCGATTACGCTGGCGGGGTCCTGGAGTAGAGAGGGGAAACCCCGACCCTCGCGTTAAATCCCATGGCCGCAGGAGGAGAAGGAGCTGCAGCTGCCTGCAGGCAGGAGATGGGCAGGCGGCACTGGACCAGCCGCCCTTCCCGGCTGGAGCTGCCGCAGGGGAAGAGCCACATTAGCATTGCCGCCCACGCCGGCCCTCCTCTTCCTCCTCCCCGGAACGGCCTCACGCCTGCAAGCGCTCCCCAAGCCAGACTGGCTTTCTCCATGCTGCGTGAGGATGGCTTCACCCTTCCTAAAGCCCTCTCTGGGTACGAAAAGCCCAAGCTCCCACTGAGAGGGACACTTTTTGTAGCCAGTAACACTAAGGGACCGGCTTCCCTGTCCCAGCCAGCCCGCCTCCTGAAACAGCGGCCACCGGGCAGACACGGCCCATTGTGTCCATGCCCAGGTGAGCTGGGCTCACTGCAGCAGCGTTTGGCTTGCTCGCCACGTGCAAGAGGCTCCTCAGCCTCTTGATATGCAAGGGAAGCGTTAACAGGGGGACAAGAGAAGTAGGAATCCCTTCTCAGCCCTGGCACAAGCTGGCTCTGAAGCCGCCCGCCCCACTCTGTGTAGGGTTCACTCCCCCCAAGACCACCAGTCCAGCTTCCAAATTGTTTCTAAGTCCCAGCGCAACGTTCCCCAGTAACTTTCCTGCATCTGAGTCACCCATGCGACCAGCAGCCCTCTCTGGGGCTGCCCCCAAGGCCTGCGAACCTGGTTCTCAACGGGCTCCGCTCCCTGTGCCAAAGCATCCCCTCTGTCACGATATGGATGGGCTGGACCTGCGGCACGAAGCACGTTGAAGCTCCTCCACGGTGCCCACCGCAGGCTCGCCCCCAGATCTCCTTCCCACCGAGCAGCCCGTTCCTTGCAGCCAGGCTCACAGCGCAGCCCTTCCCTCCGCACACCTGAAGTTTAGATCCATTTTGCTCATTTTTAAAACTCTCACTTTACCAGGGTTCTGGACGCTCCTCCAGCTCAAAGCAGTGGCTGCATCAGCTCCTCCTTCCCTGCCCGCTCAGCCGCTCGAGCACAAGTCGCAGGAGAGATGTGCATGCCAAAACAGAGTAGTTCAGCTCTGGGGACAGGGTCCCTGCACGCTTGTCTTTTCCCTGCAATAGGATGTGCTCTCCCTAGTCATCACTGCCAGCCCCAGACAAGAAATGAATCAGACACACTGAGCCTCCAACTTCCAGCCTCCTCAATTCAAGCACTCAAAACAGCCCCCTTGTCCCCAGTGCAGCCCCCCGCGCCGCACGGCTTCGTGCCCCCCTGCAGCCAGCACCCAAAGGTGCCAGGGCTATTGAAGAGACTCGGATACACACCTTGTGCGCCGGCGGCATGAATGAATGAATGAGTCACTTCCCTATTCACACCCGTATGAATGACGGAGAGCGCAGCGCGCGGCAGGAAGAGCCGGTGAGGGCCACCGAGCACCATGCCGCAGCCCCCCACCACTGGGACGGCCCCTCGTCCTGCGCGGGTACTGGCAGCCTGGTGAGAAGAGCCAAGCACGGAGCACCCTGGGCAGCAAGTCAAGGGGATCTCTCCAAAACCAGGCAGCTGACCTCTCCCCAACACGGTTACAGATGGCTCTGCCATGCAGCCGAGCACCGTGCCGAGGTCCCCTGGGGGTGCCAGCCCCATGGGGCAGGCTGGTGTCCCCAGAGGTATCAGCGTGGGCCCCAGCCTCTTCAGTGACATCTCCCCTGCACGCCCATCGCTGGCAGCAGGAAGCTTCGAGCTCAGCCGTATCTGGACCGAACCGCTGCCAGCCCTCCATCACTCAGGCATTACCTCCTCACCTGCTCCTCCAGCTGCTCCGCAGCTGCCAGAGCTGAACCACACGTCCCCCGGTTCAAAAGCCTTTTTCCCCCCACAATTTTCTCTCCGCAGCCCTCCTGAAGCCTCCCTCAGGGGATTCTGTGGTGTGGTCAGGACATGCCTCCCACAGCAGCCTCACGACAGCTACCTGCAGCCGACAACCCACTCTCCCCCTGCCCGCTTCCATCAGGGGCTGGGTCCCCCACCGGGCCAGGCCCCACGGCCGGATCCTGCTGCCTTCCAAGCCCAGCAAGGCTTCTGGTCCCCACATTTTTCTCCCCGCTGAGGACCAAGCAGGAGAGCAAAGGGCTGAGCATCTCCTGAGGGCTCCGCTTGCTTTCCAGGGCCTTCCAGAGCCAGCAAAGGCTTGCCCGGAGCACAACAGCCATTCCCATGTGCCAACAGCTCCTTCTCCCAGTATAACCAGTATCAGCTCATCTATATTTCAGTCCTGCAGCATCACCAGACCCCAGCTTGCCTGTGCATTCATGGGAGAGATGTGGGTCAGAGCAACACAGAAAAACCCTCCTGTTGCTGGAGACGGGGACACAGCCATGCTGGCAGCTGCACAGAGACTTCCCTCCACTGAAGACACAACCTGGTTCATTATTTTCCCCCTGCACCAAATCCACAGCAATTATTTTGATGCTGGAAAGGCTGAAGCAAGTATTTAAAGTCAGGTGGGGCGTTTTCTCCTCAGCAGGCCCGTCCACCTCCCGGCTGCGCTCCTAGCGACCTCACTCGATGCAATTACAATGAACAGTCGTTATCTTTACAGCAGTTGTGTCATTTCAGACCTCTGCCAACGTGCTAATCCACCGAGAAGGAACCCATGGGGGATACGGACACCCAGCTGGTGCCACCCACATAACACTGACCTGCAGGCAGAGCTTGCCTGAGCCTGCAGGCCAGGAGAGGAGGTTTCCACATGGGACAAGGAGGTGACAACTGAAAAGCCCCACAGCCAGCTTCCAGCTGCTTCACACCAGCATCGAGGGCTTAGGTTCACCTTCCCTTTTTTTGACCCCATCACTGGGAATCAGAAACAATTCCCTTCCAGAAGGGCGTATGAACAGCAGTGCTTCAAAATTCAACTAACTGTGCGCGCTTCACCGCTCCTGCCCATTCCCCTGCTGTTTGGCTTCACCCAAACCCACTCCATTCATGTGAAGATGGGGCTGCAGGCAGAGAGGGCACCCACTGAAGCACAAACCTCATCTAGCATCATCCATGGGAGCACGAAAAGCACTCTAGTGCATTTTTAACCCGGGATCTTGGACGAGGAGAGCACCCAGAGGAGCGGCACAGGCTCGGGTAAGCAGAGTACCAGCTTCAGCCATGCCCATCTTCTCCGAAGCTTTTGAGTGTTCGAGTCATTTGCTGTCAGGGGAAGAACCTGTTGCACGTTTATAAAAGGCCCCATCCTCCCTTCTCTCTGGCCAGCGAAGCACCACATCCCTCTACCAGAAGGCACTGGGGCTGCCATGGTGCCAGGAGGACCAAGAACACTGGACTTTTCCCGAGTGAAAGGGAGCTTTGCAGCCTCAACGTTACTAAAAACACTCCAGAGGTCCCAATGCTTATATTTGGGGAAGGAAGGGAGGGCATTTGGAGTGATGGCATTTGTCTTCCCAAGGAACCGTGACGCGTGACGGAGCCCTGCTTGCCTAGAGATGGCTGAACACCTGCCTGTTGATGGGAAGGGGTAAATGAATTCCTTCCTTTGCTTTACCTATTAAACTGTCTTGATCACAACCCACCAGTTTTCTCACTTTTACTTTTCTGATTCTCTCCTTCATCCCACCCGGGGGGGAGTGAGCGAGCAGCTGTGTGGGGCTTCGTTGCCGGCTGGGGTTAAACCACAACAGTCACCCAGGCAATTAAATTTACGTGGTAGGACCACGCTGGAAACTCCAGCCAACACTGGAGCAAATACAGTGTAAATACAGACCAAAGGGTGAGCAGGCACCCAGGGGAGCACAGCGCCCAGCCCCTCGTTCAGACTCACAAGGACTGTCTTTTGGATGAAACAAAGCTGGGAGCTCCCTCTCCCTCACCCAGGATCTCAGCTGAGCAATCCCGAAGCAGAGAGGGTCAGCCGGCTGCAGCGTCGCTACAAAAACACCAGCAGCAGGTCACAGAGACTCAATACACCCAAAATATCATCATCTAAACCCTTAACAAAGCCACGGTGAGTTGTGATTGAAGTGGGTGATTTAAAGTTTAAAAGCTACCTTGTCCCCGACAGGGACTTCCCCACGCGAATCCCTCCCTCCCAGGAGCAAACGCCTCCAAGCCCACGAAGGCAGGTTCTTACCTTGCTAACATTGAGCGAGGCTAAAGGAGGAGGCGTTTCCGTGCGGTCATTAATTATTTCCACTTCTGAAACATACTGTAAGTTTACAAGCAGGATATCTGCGTGATTAGGCTTTCCACTGGAAGAGGGGCATTCTGGAGGGGAAAAAACATTAAGGAAAACAAATCCAGACAGACAGAGACATTTACAGGCCTGATGCACAGAGGTGTCCAGAAGCAAACTGGGAGAACATTTGGTTTTCAGCGAGTTCCTCCACCACCCTTGTCCCTACTCAGCCAAGCATGGGGTCATCTGTGAGACCCCAACAATGTCAACCACCTCTTCTTGGACCCGTTTAACGCCAAGTCAGACTATAGCACAAGTTTTCCAGCCAATAACTGCGGTACCCAGAACACACATAGCCTGGGATGCTGCATGGTCTCCTCCAAAAAAGCAATTTAGTCCCCACTAGCCGGAGAGGTGCAGAGGTGCTGCTGCCAGGGCCCCAGCTGTGGTGCAGCCTGCTTCCCTGCTCGCCACAAGCACCAGCCAACAAACACTGGTCTGCACAGGGAAGTGAACCAGAACAACCACCGTGCCTCAAATTTGCACCTTTTATACCATAACTATTTCCTCTTGCAGGCAGCGGCTAAGCCAGAGCCTCCCCGGCAGCAGTTCCTCGTGCGGATGGAAGAGGAGCTACCCAGCAGCTCCCCGGGAAAGGCCTCCTCGCCCTCGCACACCTCCTGGGCAGCACCTCAAATGCAAAGAGGTTTGTTGTGGTTGGTATCGCAGCATGACTGGAAAGAAAATGAGACAACAGTGCACCACCCCCAGAAATAAAAACCTTTCCAGAGCTGACATTAATTCCTGCACATTCTGTTCCCCAGGAGGCTGCATCGTTAGCCCTCCACTCCCTCAGCAGATGGAAGGAGCAGAGAGCATGGCACAGAGAGCCTCCTCCACGCCGACGCCATCTCCTCCTCGGAAGAGATGCTCGCAGAGGTCACTTTTCATCTGCTCCGGTCCCCACCCCGAGTCTGGCTGCGCAGGTAAAGTCCTCCCTAGCAAACGCTTCTCAATAAAGGGCAGAAAGCGAGGGATGCCCAGGGAACTCCGGTTTCTTCCTCTGGGGGTATGAGATAGAGCACCCCAGCTTTGGGAGGAAGAGCCAGACTTAGAGCAAAGCCAGATGGAGAGCTCTCAGCCCACTCCAGAGCAGACTGGCAGTGCCACACACTAAGCCAACCTGTTGGACATCATTTAAGACTATCCTGCAGCTTCCACTCGGGCCTGGGGAGCTTCCCCCACCCAAACTGCACCAGCACAAAGGGGAGCTCAGCCCAGGACAGCTCCCCGGTCCCCAGTCCCCCTCCAAATGCATCACACCCAGGCACCCCACATGGCTTTTCCTATCCCACTTCTCACAGATGCAGCCTCCAGACCCGAATCCCTCTCGCAGCTCCTCCATCACTCACCCATTCCCCTCCAGAACCCACCCCAGCACTTCACTTCTCCGGCCCCTTTCCAACACCAGGCCCTGGGCTGAGCATCCACCTTCCGTATCTCTCTGCGGCCCCTTTGCTGTTCTCCAACAGCCCTTTGCTTTCACCTTACTTGCAGGTTAAAAAAAAAAGTACATTCTTGTGTGCACAGGCACATAGATATCTCTCTCTCTCTATATATATATATTTTAACCCCCTGAGCACTGCCTTCCTGCTTCTCTTCCACACGAGGCCTGGGGCAGCCCCAGACCCCCCGTCCCCTTCGCTCCCCCAGCAGCGGGACACTTCTCCTGGCACACCCACCGGC